TGGCATTTAACTGACGAGGTATTTTGCTGGTGAGAGATTTTAGTTGCTTTAGCGTGTAGAAGCTAGTAAGCCTACTATTGGATTTGTTTTCGATAGGCACAACATGTTTCATATGCAGACCTTATTTTCCTGTTCCATGTTCAAATAAACCATTTTCAGTGGTAGGTAAAGGTCATGGAGAAGTCATGGAAAAGTAATTAAAAATCTTTGGTGAAAAAGTGTATGAACCCTGCTTGTTACATCGGGAAATGAATGGACCATTATGTCCAAACATGGATTCTCCTTAATGCTTGTGCAGACATTTTAAGAAAATCCAAGACTTAGATGAAACCTTCTACAGACGTAAGTATCTATAGACTATTCAGACCCAACTTTCCTAATGTCTGGGTGGAAGGGGTGTAACAATTTAGGCAGTTTATTATTTAGTTTGATGTCGGGCTCACCGTCTGATAAACTCCCATTCACTTTCTGCTAAAAACAAACCACCAATAACCAAGGGAAACACATTAAAGACATTTCAGCTGTTTATAAGATTAGCAACTTGCTTGTTTTTCTGAACTTCTCCTCAGTACGTCTCACATAGTCACTGATAAGATTTAAATGACACTGTGTCATATTTTTCTATCGCTATAGTGCATACAATGCTTTAAGTTTGTGCATCCTGACATTTTGTCAATATCAGATATGTGTTCAAATGTATTTATTCATATTCCTGTTATCATCTAGAATTCCATATAATTGTCTGTGGCCTGGACTCTATACTTGCCAGGAGGTGGATGAATGGTATGCTGGTGAGTTCTCCCTCTTCACTGCAATCTTTGTCACAGTCCTTTTTATTCTCTACTCTTATCTTCAATGCTTACATTTACAATTGTAAAGATGTACAATGTTCTGGAATAAATCTCTCCGTGTCTCTTTCTGCAGCTGTCTTTGCTGGCGTATGATGATGGCGTCTTAGACCCAAGCTCCATCATTCCTCTCATTGATGGTGGGACTGAAGGCTTTAAAGGAAACGCCAGAGTCATTCTCCCGGGCATGAGCGCCTGCATCGACTGTACCCTTGAACTTTACCCTCCTCAGGTGAGGTAGCATTTAAAAAAACAACCACGACTTAGTTTTACAGAAGCAGTTAATCTCCAGTTTGTTGCTAAAATGTACTTGTCTTTGTAGATCAACTTCCCCATGTGCACAATCGCCTCCATGCCTCGTTTGCCAGAACATTGCGTTGAGTATGTCCGCATGCTGCAGTGGCCCAAAGAGACACCCTTTGGAGGTAAGAATCAAACCACAGTTGTTATTTCGGTTGAATTCTGTTTTTAATTTGAACAACGATCATTAAGTAGCCCCATGACCCCATGACCTTTACAAACAAGGTTAACTTAAGTTCTTCTTTATATGTGTGTGTGTGGATTAGATGGTGTGGTCCTGGATGGGGACGACCCAGAGCACATCCAGTGGGTGTACCAGAGATCCCTAGAGAGGGCAGCAGAGTTCAAAATCACAGGAGTCACATACAGACTAACACAGGGTAAGCACTCAGGGCTCCTCTGTCTGTCACCACCAGAACATGTTGCTTTGTCTTGCAGCTGGGAGACAGTCAGAATCAGAATACCTTTATTAGTCCCACAGAGGGGACATTTGCAGCGTTACAGCAGGAAAGAGCCACAGACAGCTTAGTGTTGCATATCTTACATGCGTTAAAAAAAGTACTAAGTTATAATATAATAAACAATATGCTAAAAAAGAAAAAGAAAAAAAAATAAGTTACATAATTTTCAAAAATACAGATCAAAAACAAATCAAATCTACAAATCAAATCCTGTAGCAGTTCTTAGGATTTAGCAGCCCGGTATATATTACAGTTATTAAAGATGGCATATGTATATAAAGTATATATTGCACATATTGGTTTGACGGTATTTAACAGCAGCAAGTTACAGAATTTACAAAATACAAGATACATACCTTGTAACAGTGACAAGGGTTTAGCAGCCAGGTATAAATTACACAGTTATAAAGTACCAAAGTAAATATAATATAACACAGCTAAATTATTTTTGGGAGTTTGATACATTAGTTTGTGACTGTAAAACAGAATGTCCTCTCTTTTAAAGACAAGACAATACATTGCATGTTTTAAATGTGTTTTTTACTGTCTATTTTTAGCAGTAAGTACAACATATTTCCAATGTCCTTATTAAATGTTGCAGGTGTTGTGAAGAGGATAATTCCAGCTGTAGCGTCTACAAATGCTGTCATAGCTGGTAAGTAGCAAGACATAATAAAAGTGAAGGCATGTCAGTAGAGAGCTGTTAGGAAAGTAAGCCCTGTCATACAAAAGATTCATTATTTTCAAACTGTACTGAATAAACTGTGTACCCGGACCTAACTGTTTTATTTCCCTGACTTGTTTTTACCAGCTGCTTGCGCAACTGAGGTTTTCAAATTAGCAACAAGGTGAGTTTGCAGGTTCTGCTTGCACACACATGCACACAGTAAAGATCTGTTCAAACAACCCACGACTTTTCCTCATGATATTATCTTTTGCGTCTGCAGTGCCTATATACCTCTCAATAACTACATGGTCTTCAATGATGTTGACGGCCTATACACCTACACTTTTGAAGCAGAACGAAAGGTTTGTCCTTGAGTTTCACCTGCCAGCTCAAGTTTGCTACGATTATAAAGTCTCCTCTTTTTGTAACACACACGTTTATGTTCTTCTTCTGATTCAGGAAGACTGTTCAGCCTGCAGCCAAGTACCTCTGGACTTGCACTTTTCTCCAACTTCAAAACTCCAGGAGTTGTTGGACTTCCTGACTGAAAGTGCCTCCCTGTAAGTGAAGCTGCCTTATTGTGTTTTATTACTGCCCTGTACCATCCTAAATGAAGTTCTGCTTATGGTTATATTTTCTTATTGTCTTTAACAACAATATATGTATTTCAGACAAATGAAATCCCCTGCTATAACCGCAACAGTGGAAGGAAAGAACAAAACATTATATTTACAGGTAATTAACCTTTGTACACTGTTTTGTGTTTGCTGTGTATTTGAGTCGAATGCCTCCTGGCTCAATTAGGTATTTATGCAAATGTTGGTTTAAGCCTAATTTGTATTTTGTTTTACAGTCTGTCGCTTCAATCGAACAGAGGACGCGGCCAAATCTATCCAAAACCCTCAAGGGTGAGATGTTTTGTTTACTCAATATGTTTCCTAGGAACGGCTATGCCCACACTCTGAATAAGGGAAACTGAGATTGTGAATATGCTGACTCACTGTTTATATGAACATGTTTTTTCTAGATCTGGGGCTGAGTGACGGACAGGAGCTGGCAGTAGCTGATGTCACCACACCTCAGACCATGTTGTTCAGACTAAGCTTTACCTCATAGGATGAATTCAAGCGCTTCCACAGCCAGTTGATGTCATTCTGGTTTCTTGGCCAACTGTGACTTGATGCAGAATATTTAAAAACGGCCTAAAAACTAGAACAGTTTACCGTGTAATCGTTCACGTTGTAAATGAGCTTAGCTAATTTCATTGTTTTAATGTACTTATTGACTTTATGTCTTGCACTGTAAAGCCAAAATCATACTTCATACCTTGTCATCTTTTGGTGATACATTGTCTGCAGACGTTGGGGATTTCTGCATTCATGTGCTATCTGCACTACAAACATGCAAACAAAGAGACAAGAATAAGTCACTTTGGCAAATATGAATCTGTACATGTTCTGGTTTCCAATATTTTGATTATTTATTTATTCCAAAACTGTTTTTTTTGTAGCAGTACCCACTGAAGTGGTAATCATCAGATACAGATAATGATGTGTGAACTGGAATAAAAATCTGTTTCTTACAAAGTTTCTGTTTCTTTATCTTCTTTATGAGAATAATTTACTCAGGAAGTTTAGTGTGTGATTTCTAGGCCTTACTAGAACCAGTTTTAGAATCAGATTAAAAACAATATTCTCTAGGTTTCGGCTATTTCTAATGTCTCGAGTGCACACGACAGAACTGCTTCAGCTGAATTTGAATCTTAATAGATTTGGTTTGACTGCTTTCTGATGGTTTTGCCTGAATTTAGGGTGTTTTCTCAGATGCAAGCTGTTTTTAAGGGTTTTTAAAGACATGACCAAAAGTTGACTCGACTGATTTGCGGTTTTGCGTTTGAGCCCTTTGTTTGCTGTGTGGCAAAGACTAACAAGGATTTGGATTACAAGTTTCCATGTGTCAATATGGAGGGATCATTTGTTTTTAAGCTTAAACATCCTAAATAGTAAAAACTATATATATCAAACAAATATTGAGCTAATACAATCTATGTATTTCTAAGTACTGTAAGGGGAAGGTTAAATATATGAAATAGTTAAACATTCATAGTTCAGAACATACTCTGTCTTTCCCCCAGAATATCACCTACAGCAAGAAATGAACACTGACAACAAGTGACCTTCATGGAAGTATGAAGAGGTGACCCTAAAACTAAACTGAAATTATATAGGCACATCACAGGGATTATTCCACTTCAAATGTCCTCTGGCTTGCAGCTTTATCAGCAAATTTCACATCAGAATCAGAATTCCTTTGTTAGTCCCTCAGCAGGGAAATGCACAGTGTTACAGCTAAAGTGCCATAGCAGGTAAAAAAGGCAGACAATAAAAGAGTAAGCTAACATGTTAAATACAGAGAAAAAGCACACATTAGTAATACAATTGATTGAACCTATTCAAGTTTTGAGATATTATACAAATTATTTTATTACACCTAAAAATGTTTTGCACAGAAGAGATGCCAACAAAGAGTATTGCACATTGCAAGTTTATTGCAGAATATGTCAACTATATTGTTTATTATTTAAATGACTTAAATTAAGTCCTGGCAGATTCTAACCATTGGCGAGACATCTGTTTTTCTGTTTGCATGTTACATATTATTATATTACATCCTTTGCTTCTTCCGCTCTGCAGAGTAGACTAGTCAGACCATGACGTCAGGCTGCTACGTGGAAAGGAAGTAGCGAGCATGCTAATGCTAATGTGGCTACAAGTTGAGGACGACCAAAACAAACGATGAAGGCGGAGCAAAGGAGCCGAAAACAGCTTGGATTAGGCATGGAACTGCGTTTGCTTTGATCGTGGTGGTAGAGTTTATGCAGGGTATTAGAGGTACCTGTATGTCTAGTTTAGAAATCATGCGATTATGAATGCCAGCTGACGAGTTTGCGAGCTGTAACTGTATGTGGGATTGATGTTTCCTCTGTACACAAACGCTATGCTTTGGCTAACTAGCTAAGTGGTAGCTAGATGTCAACAAAGCTTATCCCGGAAAAACACAATTTGAAATAGCGAAATAGTGTTTTCACTAGGTTGTCGTAGATTTCGAGAAATGCAGAGATAGTTAAAGGGACTGTTGTTTATGTGCTAACGCCAATCCCCCTTTAAGATCCGTGTTACAGTTCCTGGAGTTACTGATTGCTAGCTAGCCAAACAGTCAGCATGAGTTGGTTCAACTCCTCTCTGTCCAGCTTCGCTAAACAAGCTTTAACAACAGCTCAGAAGTCAATCGACCGAGTTCTGGACATCAAAGAGGAGGACCAGTGGGGTGACACAGTTGTCATGCCCTATGATGGTGAGTAGTGTCACATGGGGAGGTAAAAGCTAATGTTGTCACATGCACATTTGGAATTTCTGAAAGAAAAGCTCATTTTTATACAAAGCTACTCTTGTGATATCTGCACAGCTTTCCACTTTTTCATAACAAAACTGCACCTATATTATTTTATTATGAGTATTTTCACATTACACTTAAACTCTACATAGTTTTTGGTATTTCTATTATCTATACATATTATTGTTAATATTTCTCTATATGTTATTGTTATAATCGTCATTTTCTTTTAAATGTATGTTCTTTAAATGTGTTTACGTATGCACCATATAGACCAAGGCAAATTCCCCGCATGTGTAAACCAACCTGGCAATAAACCTGTTTCTGATTCTAAAACTGGAACAACTTCATTTCTGACAGATGTAACAATGCCTGGAAAGCTGTCACTGAGTGGAGGATGGGGAATGACACCGTGGGAGGCGCCCCCTGAAGAGAGGCCCATCACTCCTCCTCCTTCCTCTGAGGCCATCACCACTCCTGTCACCCGCACAGTTGTGGATGAATCGGAAAACTTTTTCACTACCTTTTTGCCACCCGGAGACGTCCAAGGCGTCACCATCTCCCAGGTAGTGTCCGTACCACCTACTAAGTCGCAAAGGCGGCCTCAGGAGAAGGAAAAGAAAAGCAGGGAGACTGTGGCACATGAAGAAGAGAATTCAGCACCTGCGGACGAGACCCTGGAGTATCAGACGGATGATGAAGGCTTGATAGTTGATCTGGATTCCTCAGCAGAATCCCCTTATTCAGACACTATCCTCCTGCAGCCGGTTTCTCCTGCTCCTTCTCTCAGCGATCTTCCTGACAGCGAAATGAGCGATTTACAAACAGATATCAGCTCTGCAGTTTCTGTAGACTCCACACCAGAGCCGTCACAGCCTCCATCCGATCTCCAGGTGGAGCAGGATACCACAGATTCCTGTCAACCCGCTGCTGTCACTTCTGAACTTAAGAGCTCTACTCCCCCTGATCCTTCGCCCTCTCCGCCCTCTAAGGAAGTACTCATAGAGAATAAAGACTCAAAGGTGGAGGACCGTCAAAGCGATACCCCCTCTCCTCCGGTCAGCGCTTTCTCCTCGGGAACCTCCACCACCAGTGACATTGAAGTGCTTGACCACGAGTCAGTGTTGAGTGAGAGCTCAGCCAGCTCCAGACAAGAAACAGGGGAGGGCAAGGCCGACCTTCATCTGATGCAGGGCTCCTTTCAGCTTCTCACGGCCTCCACCTGTGGAGATTTCCCCCATCTGGAGGACTACTCCAAACTCACAGAGAGCTGCGGCTCCTCCTCGGACGCGTTCGAGCGCATAGATTCATTCAGTGTTCAGTCGTTGGACAGCCGGAGTGTCAGCGAGGTTAACTCGGACGATGACATCCCCGGCAGTCGGACGCTAGCGTCTGTCACCACGGGCTCTCCTCCTTTGACAGTGTCATCAGCTGTGTGTCAGAAGCAGGAAGATGGAGAGGAGGAGAATTTAGGGCAGGAGGAAAGGGAGGAGGATGAGGAGGAGGAGGAGGAGGAGGAAGAAGAGGAAGAGGGCTATACAGACACAATGAGGGAGCAGTCGCTGGATGAGATGGAGGAGAGTGGCCGGAGTGCGACGCCTGTTAATAGTGATCAGCCTGAAGAGTTGATGGAGCAGGAGCAGTACTCTGAGGCGAATGTCACTCTGTCTGATCCCGCCTCCAACGCTGACGAACAGATCGCTCCACCAATCACTGCAGAGATGAAAAGTGTCTCCCCAGTTCAGATTTTGGAGCTTCAAAAGGTAGCAGTTATTAAATATTGTATGTATTTATGTTACAAAGTGCATATAGCTGAGTTTATTGTTCAACTTGCTAGTCATACATTAGTTGCGTATATGGTACATTATTATTAAACTACTCTGAAAGTCATGTGTAAAGTATACATGTAAGTTTATCCTTTCAAAAAAGGAATACTTCACTTACAAAATGACCATTTGTTACTCAATGAATCGACCTATATTATCTTGAAATCTTGCAGAACATGTTGTTTTTCTCATAGCTTCCATGGTGACCAAACAATTCAATAATGTCCTCCACAGTCCTAGGCAGTAGTATGGCCAAGTTTAACAACAGCAAAACGATATTAAAACATCTTCTCACCAACTATCAAACAACTCTTCCAGTATATCCAGGTCTCATTGATCCAGTTGCATAATCACTACTTCCCAAACACATGCATTTTGGCTTAAACCTTACTACTTAAAACACTCAATTATAAACAGGCTTTCATCAAGAATACATTTTCGTCAACTATTCAAGTTAACACCGGGTGAGTTGTTGATATTCAAATGTTTATTTTATGTGTGAAGTCTTCCTTTAAACCAACTCAGTTCTTTGGATAGACTTCCAAAGAATGCATAATAGAAGCACATAGCTACGTGAAGGTCATGTCACATTTCCATATCATCTTTTTAACTCGTCCCATTGTGTGTTATCTAGAGCAAGACTTTGTGTTTCTCCTGTCTAATAGCTTTCACTTCAATTTTGCCAACTTGTTTAAAAAAGTGTTTTTTAAAATACCTGCCAATATCCTTTCAGAAATGTCCTATGGTCAAATATAAGTTCTCCTAGTACTATCTGTTATACTAATTTAAGAAGGTAACCTTAAGCTCTACCACACTCGTTTTTAAAATGAGTAAGTTGTATTTTAACAGGATTGTCTGTGCGAATGTTGTTGTAAAGACAAAATGTTGTGGACATGTTGTAGGTGATTGATGATCTGTCAGGCCGCCTGGAGAAGAGAGAGTCTCAGCTTCTGGTTGTCAGCAAGGACAAGGCCACGCTGGAGGAGCAGTGTGACAACCTCAAAGAGTGAGTGTATGGCACACACACACCTGCTGCACAATGATCATGATAAGGAAGCTATTTTTACCAAAGGATAAATGTTCCGGCTCATGTGTTGTTTCTATGAAAATACAATGGTTTAGTGTTTTCGATTGGCAACATGATCTTTAAATGCTCTAACTACTTGTGCAGAGTTTTAAAAGCTGTCTTGGCTTAAGGCTGTATGGATTTTGACACTAAGCTATCTTCAACTAATGAGTGTGTTCATCCTGCAGTGAAGTGATAAGCCTGAAGGAGGATAGCTCCACAGTTCAGTCCCTGAAGGATGAGTTCACTCAGCGTATAGCGGACACAGAGAGGAAGGCTCAGCTGGCCTGCAAGGAGAGAGACATAGCCAAGAAGGTACATCACATCCGAGTCATCTGAGGCTCTACACCACACAAATAAGGCTACAAAAGCAAAACAATTTGTACAACTAACAAATCTTTATCTTCTTTGTGTTCATTTTTCTATGCCACAGGAAATAAAGGGCTTGCGAGACGAGCTTTCTACAAGACTTCACTCCAGCGACACACTGGAGATCATCAGAGAGAAGGAAGAGCAGATCAGAGGCCTGCTGGAAGAAGGTCATTTTTTATTTATGAAGGCTATAATTGTTCTCCTTCACAAGCCCACACAATTAAACCTATACAGTCAAGGCCCTTTTAACATGTAGCCAGTTGTATAATTGGTGCCAAAGCTGCTTTAACTTGATTTACCTAAAGAGAAGTTACCCAAGTTTCACACAAAAGGCCATTGAATAAAGAGTAGGCATGATGCAGGGTTGTGGCCTATAAATATAAGACTGGTCATTTACCACCAGGATACACATGTGAAGAGATAAGCTGTCCCTCAATAACTGGAGAGCCAACATGTGTCAGTTATCTAATAACAGTGTGAAGATTTGCAAGCTAGATATCCCTCATCATCTTGTAAAAAAAGTTTTAAGACGGCATCAATACCAGAGAAACTTGTCTGTTATATTTGACTATTCAGGGTGTCCGCGGGGTCTTAAAAAGTATTAAAAGTTGATAAATCAATTTCGCGAAAATGAAGGCTATTAAGTATTGAACAGCATTTTCCAAGGTATTACATTGTGTAGCTTGTTTTCAATAAGTATATAAATTGTCCAAAGAGGTTGTATTCTACAGTGTGCCTGAATGTAATCATTGCGTAGGTGTGTAGTGTGATTCTGTGTAGTTTATTTATGGCATCCCGTTGGATTTGACGTCATCTGAACAGGACATCGCACGCTCACTGCTTGATACCGCGCGAAGGTCCGTTTACGCCGGTTGTTAAACAACATCGTTATGGGGAAATGCAAGTTAGCGTCCAAATGGTTGGAAGATAAGGAGGAAAGACAATCAATACTGTATATAGTCAATGTGAGGTAAAGTGTGTCGCCAATGTAACCGGTTAAAACTCAAAACGGTGATGAGGTCTTAAAATGTATGGAAAGGGTCTTAAAAAAGGTCTTCAAAGGTATTACATTTGACTTCAGGATTCCTGCATATACCCTGGATAAAAAGAAAAGACTGCCTGAGATG